ATCTGGGATGAATAGAAGAAAAGTGTTCCTATCATCCAGGATGATTATAAATCGTCCTGTACGATTAGTTCAAATCATAGACCATCGGCCAGACAATCGCTCTGAAAAGAGTTCTGGACGATTCCAAAATTGCTTGATCGTCCAGGCCGATCTCATGCTCGTCCCAACAATTAGTTCAAATCAGAGGAAAATCATCCAGAGCATTGCCCGGAATTTGAGCTGTCTGATATTTATCGTCCAGGAGCAACTAAGGTTTTTGAAATGATCGTCCTGACCGATCTTTTGATCGTCCAGGATAATGTGATTTCCTTAATTACTATATTTATTTAGACATAATTATATCAAATCGTCCAGGATGATCCAAGATCATCCTGGCCAATTTCCAAAAATAAGGAATGCCTAAATAGATTATGGTGGCTGATTCTTTCTATTTTAAGCCTATCGTCCTTATCGATACATCTATAATCTAGGCCGATCGGCTAATGACGATTGCCTTAACTAAGATAACTGATTAGGGTTTCTATTTTGAACCCTATCGTCCAGGATGATGTGAGTAAAAACAAAAATTCTAAGTCAGATAGAAAAAATCACTCAAGTGTGTATGTGTGTGTAGGATTACTTAGCATCAGAACATTTCAATGTTTACAATTGACTCAAGAAAGGGAAAAAGAAAATTATAGACTAACTCAGACCTAGTCTACCAAATCTTTAGCTGGTTCCGATTTCCGTCCAATCTTGTGGCCCTGAAATGTTAGTAGAGGAGGCAGTCGTAGAGAACCAAGAGTGTTTGCTAATTATCAAAACATAATCCATGAAAATATATTTGTAACAATCTCCCCCTTTTTGATGATGGCAAAAACACTCCGATGATTAATTCCAAAACAACAATGCAAAACATAAAAAGCTTTCAAAATTTCAGAAAAGAATAGGACAACCATACATCTCCCCCTTTTGACATCTCAAAAAGGAGGAGGAAACTAAAAACAAACTAAAGCAACTAGAACTAAAAGAAAAACATAATGCATAAAAAACAAAGGAATTCAGAAGAAAAGGGGACAACGAGAGTAAGAATAAAGCACAGAGAAGTGTGAGTGAAGAGGTCTAATACCGGATATGAGAGGTGGACAGGATTGATTATTTTGTAGAGAGTGATCCCACATTCTTTGTATCGATGGTAGGCAGCCTGATCTTCTGCCTCCCTGAATTGAGGGTCCAATATTGTCCTCAAGGAGCTTCCAGAGGTCTGATGAATTTGCTTTCCTTCAGCCATAGCAAGAAATCAGGAAGAAGACAAGAGATGAGAAGAAGATTGAAGTGAGAAATATGGCTGGAAAGCTCTGAATTTAAAGAAATGGCCACATCGTCCAGGACGATCGTAGAATCTTCTAGGATGATCTGGTTCAATAATTACATACAGGTCGATTGGTCAAAAAGGTAGTCCGATCGTCCGAGACGATCCGACATCGGTCGGGATGATTAGACACAGACGATCGCCCCAAGGAGTCAGGCCGGACAACCGTTGAAAAAGCATATCGTCTAGGCTGATTAGGTGTATTGTCCAGGATGATGCTCAATAATGAATTGTACAGGATGAATTTAAAGCGTTTTAAATCATGCGCCACGTATTTCGTCTAGGATGAATAGTGGATCGGCTAGGACGATTATCCAATAATGGATCGTCTCGGGCAATTTTAAAGATTTTAAATGTATTGACACGTGGATCTTCCAGGACGATCAGGTGTATCAGCCAGGACGATTTTCATAAGAGCATCGATTAGGATGAACATTTTATCAGTCAAGACGATCAAGATGATTGTAACAGATATTGTAGGCATAAATCAAAGTCAGCAAAAAGGAAAATTGAGTGGTGGCGAAAAGAGGCATTCCTTGAATGTGGATATCCTCTTGAAATAAGATTCTAAAAGGATTAATTTTAACATAGACAAACCTAAGGAAATAATCCTCATTTGCCCTCGATAGAAAGTTATCTTCACTCCTGTAAGACGATCACTTAGTGACTCTACCCTGCTTGTAGAACTGGCCATTGCTAAGATGAGAAGGATTGGAAGAGGCTATTAAAGTGAATGAAAATGAATTCAATAGCCCTCCTATTTAAAGAAAAATGACCTTTTGTACGTATAAAAAAGGGTTAGTACTGTATGATTGATGGTTCGTACATGACGAAATAAATTTTGTATGTATGAATGAATACGTTCAAAATGAAATGTCTTTTCATAATCATGTAAGTTACAAAGTATTCTTTTGTATAGGCTTTTTTACCAGACAATCGTATAGACGAACAGGTGTTCATCCAGGATGATCAGTTATTTAAGATCATTTTAAAGACGATTAGGTTCGTCCCCCATATCGAATGACATGTGGTTTATATGTACGAACTAAAAGTTTGTATGTACGATCAGTTATAATAATTGATTTTTCCTGTATAACCATCTAAATATGTATAAACGAAGTAATGCAGATCATCCGGGATGATATAAATATCATACAATATCACATGTATTGGAAAATTAAAACTTTACGTAATCATTCCAAAATAATGATTTACATGTTAAAGAATTTATAC